ATTTGGGTCCTTGAGCCCTTAGGGAACCCCAATGTCATCTGGCAGGCGCAAGCAATCTCCGTACGTTGCAACGAACATCCCTGGGATCCATCATATGGGGCTTCCCAGAAACCAGGGTCCCCTCAAATGGCCCTGAATACTAGTTTCCTGCTTATAAGATCCTTATGTAATCTCCCAAAAAGAGCCCTGAAATTTCAAGCCACATAAAAAAAAAAAANNAAAAAAAAAAAAAAAAGAAAAAAACTGTGAAAGTTCACCGACTCAGACTCTTGGCCTGCACTCAGCCCCAAAGTAAGTACTACTTGTAGACTATGGCCCAAAGTAGTTATCATTTCTAGGCTTGGAGCCCCGGGGTAGTATTTAAGAATGCATGAGAAAATCGGTCCGCTGTGCTAGTCTGCATATGAAACACGTTTTCTTTTCCCACTAGGCACTCGGGATGTCACCCAATGATTGAAGGAACTGCTGTAGGGGGGCTTACAGGTGCTTTGGGCAGATCTTGTCGGCTGTTCTTTTAAACCCTAAACTCTAAACCTCAAACCCTAGACCTTAAGCCCTAAAGCCTAAACCTTGTCCAATCCTTAGCCATCCTCCACTGAGGAGCGTTTTATTCCAGTATTGGGTGGTCAAAGAACAGAGACCTGAAACTTGCAGTGCTGCTTCTGAGGTCCTGTCGTCTAGAAGCTACTATGAATGCCTTCCCTCAAAACCAAACGCAAATATTCCCAGTGTGTTGTGTTCTACAGCAAGAAGAATATTCCATATTAGCAGGCTTGTAATATTAGGGAGGGGGATTAATCTTCACTGCCTGGTCGGGCTTCACAGGTACGGCAATGACAAGTGGATGTTGTTGAGATACTGCCGCCGTCCAACGATAGCCACGAGCTCAGCTTCTGGTCTGGATGAGGTACCATACAGACGCAAAGGGTCTAAACGTTTAAGCAGCTATAATATAGGGACTTACTGGTTGGGGTGTAGGGTTTCCCATAATTATGGGTACCTTTGTAACGCACCCTAGAATAAGGATTATAGCATTTTGGCGCTATACTGGCGTCTGTCTACGTGCCAAAACTAACTAACCCCGCAAGAGTCCATATAGCTATGTAGCATGTGCCCCAAAGTAGTCATATGGCCTTTGGGCCCAAAGTATATGTTGATGAACTACATGGGCCCTGTGAGAGTTTTCAACAAGAATTAGACGCTTCTGCGTCTCAGTGTTATGCTCTGGAACAGCGTTCAGGAGGGGCTTCCAGGCACGGCAACTTGCGACATGTCTCAGGTAGAGTGCAGGGAATTTGCTAACCGCATGGGCGCTTGGGACATGTGAGCCATGATCTAAACTCCTTAAACGCGTTGTAGAAAGGATTATATAGGGGACTACTACAGGGGATATTAAGCAGGATACTAGACGATGGCTCATGTGATAGCATGGGTACATGAGAAATAGTCACCTTCTTTTCAGGCTTCTACATCACATGGCGCTAGGACGCCACGCCGGCAGAACATTATTTTAGGAGACACGCATTCAGATTTCAATCTTCAAGCAGAAAAGATTGATTTTGGGTTGCAACCACCTCAAACTTATAACACCGACTTGAGGAATTTGCGACACCAGGGGTTTCTCTCGACCTCCCTATCTGGGGACCCAAAGCACCCACATCATCCTCGATTCTTTTGAGAAACCCCAAGCATGAGGCACACAATTCGGAGGAAGCTATGCAGGCCCTGATGCGAACGCTGGGCGCCCGTAAAGGTTTAGCAGCTGCAGGGTCAAGAGTGTCAGAAGCCTAGGCTTTTTGGGCTGTTGAAGGTTCAGGCTTTCAGGGTTCTAGTGTTTGGAAGGGTTTGGGTTTTGTACATTTAGGGTTGGCTGCAAATCCGGGTGGATCCCAGAAACCGCAACACATAGAGGCCAG